AACAGTGCATTGAAATATATTTAGTGATATTATTTTGTCACAATATTAATCTTGCAAATGAAAATTAAGTGAAAAGTGTTGAGCTAAATTGTCTTCATTTTGTGAATCTTTAATGTGCACATATGTGTGTGTTCATTTGTGTGGTTGTGCATGTGTGTGGCAGCAGACACGCATATGTATCTGGACTCCACTTATGTAGGTAGAGGCCAGAGAACAAATGTGGCATCTTTATCAGGAACACCATCCAGGTCCCTTGAATTATGGTTTCTCCATTACCTAGAGCTCTCCAACTAAACTAGGGTGGATGGCCAATTATGCTAGCAATCCTTCTCCCCTGGTTTCTCAGAATAGTTATTAAAAACCTGTGCTAAATGCCAACATGCTTTTTCTGTGATTCTGAGAATTGAACTCAGGGCCATGTGCTTGCAAAATGTTCTGGAAGCATTCAACCAACAAGGCCATTCTCACAGCCCTGGAAATCATGGTTGACTCAGAATTCTCTGATCCAGCTTCTCCATGTTCTTATTTTTCTGAGCCACAAAAAGGGGAACCAACAAATTATTCTACCATTTATTTCAGTTATTTCTTCCACACCACTTACCATGATGCAGCAAATTTTGGTGCCTCTAGCCTATCTTCATCCACTAATTTTTATTTTGCTGAGAGGTGGTTGTGGTGGCACATGCCTTTAATCCCAGCACTCAGGAGGCAGGGGCAGATGGATCTCTATAAGTTCTAGGCCAGCCTGGTCTACAGAGTGAGTTCCATGGCAGCCAAAGCTACACAAAGAAACCCTGTCTCCCAAAACAAAAACAAAAACAAAAATAAAGCAAAATAAAAAACCAGTACCAAAACTGAGGACTATAGTGATCAAAGGGAAAACATGACACTCCTACCTAAATTCTTTGAGACAACTGAAAAAGCAACATTTCCTGACTTATTTCATAAAGTCTAGATTGAAACTACAGCTATAAAAAGAAAGGAAAATTAGAGATTACCATCCCACATGGATATCAACACACACACACACAAATCCCTATTAGCATATTACTCAATCAAATCAAGTACATATAAAAACATTAAAACTAGCAGTATAAATCAACACAAGACTGGCTTAACATGGGAAAATCAGCATATTTAGCAGAACAGGTTCAAAGCACTGTTGGCTGGGCAGCATTGCAACAACAGAAATGCTGTGGCATGCACTGGGTTATTCCTGTACTTTTATGAGGCTGTGGCATGTGTGTTAGGCTATTCATGAACATTATCTGGCTGTGGCTTGCTTTTACTAACATTCCTATTATTTCATGAGCAATGTCATAGCTTGTCTGCTGTTTTGAGAAGCAGGCAAGCTAGGTGTTTGGTTTCTAGGGGAGCTTTAATTTCTCCCTATCATAACCTTACTCCGAGAACTGCTACCTTTCCCCAGGATTCTGATTTCACTACACAAATGAAGCTGTGTTTCAGTCTTCCCACTTCAAACCTCCCCTTATAACTTGAACCGTCTAGTTCTGACCTTTGTTGATTTTTTTTGACATTTAAAGTTGATGTCCTTTTTTTTTCTCTGCTGGCTTATGTTTTACCACACATCTCAAACCAAGAAATTCCAAGTGAATTATACTCTGAGTGGTAAGAAAGTTGGAAGCCCAGTGTGACCAATGATACTGCCGAGGAGCTAACCATGGCAACTTCAAGATCTGAACTTTTAAGGAGAAAATAATGTCTTGTGAACTGAATTTTACATTGCTTACAATCACATTCATTTTAATTTATACATCATTTCTGGAAGTAGCTCAGAGCTGTCAAGGTAGAACAAGTTCAAATCAATAAGAATTTACCATGAGGTGATTGGATTTAAGTGTCCTAAGAAGGGGGCAGGGATGTTAGATGTTGGAGATGATCAAAAGCCAACTACACAGGCACTTTAGAAAGAAGCCAATGGATTCTGTATACAAACTCAAAGAGGTAGAAAGAGAAGACAGACAGGAGAATACATTCTAAACTGAATGTGTACCAGTTGAACAGGTAGGATAAATTGTGATTGAAGAGGTGAACAGAAACTGAGCCTCTAAATTAAAGAATTAATTTTACCTCCTGAGAATTTTTAATGTAGTTACTGATAATAAACTTTTAAATTGATTTTTGAGTATTTTCCATATATGCTTACAGTGTATTTGGATTAGATTCAATCCCTACTTCTCCCTCTACCCATCCTAGTTTTGTGTCCTTTTGTTTTTGTTGCTATATGAAACCCACAGATTTCCATTTCTGATGCCCATGAACTCATCAGTGTGGGGGGATAATGCTCTTTGCAGAAGACATAGGTTTCAGATAAAAAGTCCAATGCTAGATGTATGACAAATTCTTTGGGGTTGTTGGCCAGTGGTGTCTGGGAGACTCCCAAAGCAAGAGACTATTGTTCCCATCAGAACTTGATTGTAAAACCAACAGGACACACTTTGGCCATGGATATGGGGAAATCAAACAGGTACCAACTAGGAAGCTTCTGCCTTACTTACTAGCTTATGAAAGTACCAGAAGGTGCTCTACAGGGTTCTGGGAAAATGGTCAGTATTTGCAGCAGTGAATCATGTAAAGTGTAATAATGATTACTGTGGCAATATACTACCATGAATGCAATAGCAGCACAAATATTGTGGGGTAACCAATAATTCAGATTGGATATAAGGTCTGGCTGCTACCCAGGAATAAGAAAGAAATCTCTGGAGGTTTTAAAAGTACTTGCATGGTGAATTTCCCATGGACATTGTGTTAGGAAGGCATCTAAGGATGGATCAAGGAAGACAGCGCCAGAACCTAGGTGATATTGCCAGGAACTAGGGTATACTGCCAGGAACTGGATGGTATGCCAGGAACCAGGCAGTGGTGGGAAAGACTAGTTGGAACAAGTCTTAGAAAGCGTCTGTGGTGGTGTTAGACTGCAACCTTGTATCTTCCCTGGGAACAGATGAGTCACAATCTCAAGAAGACCATTTGTAATGAGTCTAGAAAGATTTTCAATTACTCATACAGTGACTTCTTAAAATAATTGAACTGTCGATACAACAACTAGTTCCTTTCAGATTTTGCATACTGTAGACCAGAGAGAAGACTAAAGGTGCAGGAGAGACTAAAAGTTTTTCAGAACCTTTAGGAACTTCAGGGTTAGAAGCCAGGTGTTTAATGATTGGCTTTTATCATAAATAGAATTAGTCTGTTGCAAAGATGTTAAATAAAGTGCAAAGTAGCTTATCTCATCCATCTTCAAGAGAAGTCAAAAACCAGAAAAGCAAAGCTGTCATTGTCTTTTTTTTTTTTTGGACCACCAGACAGCTAACAAATAATGACAGAGACTTCTTATTAACTATGAAAGCTTGGCCTATAGCTTAGGCTAGTTTCTAACTAGCTCTTATGACTTAAATGAACCCGTTTATATTAATCTATGTTCTATCATGTGGTGGTACCTCTCTTCCATCTTGCACTTCTTGTTTCCTCCCATGTCTCTTGGCTTCTCCTGTGTGCCTAGAAGGTGCTGCCACACTGTGGGTGGTTTTTCCTGCATGAGATCAAGGTAATCAGTTCAGTTCTTCAGGTGAACATCTGTACTCAGGTGTTTCTAATTTGTGGCAGGTCAACATTGAAACCAATTAAAATAAACACCAAAGAACCCACCTCAGGAGTGTGAGCTGTGCAATCTTCATCTCTGGGCACCCTAAATGACTTAAAGCAGCTCAGCCAGGGGTTAAGTCTGTCATCTCCCCAGACGTTGTGACTGCTTATATAACCCCAGGGAACAGCTCTGTGAGTCTTGTAAGTTTTAAAAGATTTCTCAGCTCTGTAAATCTGATTTACTTTCTGAGGCTTATGGGCCATTGTTCAATGTATTTCAATTAGAAGGAAATAGCTACACAGGCACAAGCCATTTGTAAAATCACGCATCCAGGAAACACTGTATCAAAATGGATTTGAAAAATTTACCACATAATTTATAGAACAGCACATTGACATCCAATTAAACATGAAAGAATTAAATCACTTGTGATAAAAAGATGATTTGAGAGTCCCAAAAGAGAACTGTTAGAAGAAAAAATTGGGGGATAATGGTTCAATAATCCCCCCAATCCCAATATTCTACAATACTTGTGAAACCTGCAAATACTGGCTTATGTGGCAGACTGTTCAAGTATGATTAAGTACATTAAGACAGAAGTCCTGGGCTCAATTTTGCTTTGGACTCTGAGAAGATTTTATGTGTTTCAGGCTCCTTGCCTTTAGATTCGAGGATTTATGTAAATTCCTCAGTAAAGTTAAGCACACTCAAGTGTAAGCAGACTTTTTTTTTTTTCTGGGTATCTAGAATCCTGCCCTAGTGTTCCGATGCAAACCATTTGATACTAGTGTTTCTAGTGTTTAGTGTTTGATTGTTTCTGGCTACAGTTTTGCTTTTTTTTTTTTTAGATTTTTTTTTAAAATTTTTATTATTTTGTTTTATGTGTATTTGTCTGGGTAAGTTTAGGTTCATCTCACATACATATAGGTGGCCATGGAGTCAATAGAGAGCATCAGATCCCTAGACCTGGAGTTACATTTGACAATGGGATATCTGATAGAGTTATATTTGACAGTGAGATGTCTGATAAAGATGTAGTCAGTATTCTTAACTGTTGAGCCATGTCTTTAGCCCGTGTGAATTTTTGTGCCAGTAAACTATTTCAACTCAGAATATATACTTATCCAGGAGTAATTCCTCCATGAAAACTTTCTAAGAAAGAAAACAAATATAAAGTTCAGGTAAATTAAAAGGACAGTTACTTTTTGGGCAACAGTAAGACATTTATTTCTTTATAATTTGTATTCATTCATAAAAAGGACAAACCACAGTCCTACACTACTCCATTGAAAAAATGATAAAAAATAACTAAAAAAATCAATTTGTTATTTATCAGTATCAAATAAAACTACTATTACCTTTCCTGAAATACAAAGAAACAACAGATGTGTCTATATCTATATAAAGTTTAATTAAGAATCTTGCATCTTAAAGCATATGATACATTGGTTAGCTTGATAACCATTTAAAACTGATGGTCCCAGTCACTTCTGTACAATTATATGAGAAAATGAAAAGCAGACGTCATTAGTGCATGAGAGTTGAGTCTATCCACCACATACTTAAAACTAAACAACCTTCAAGTCTGTTTTCTTATCTTTCAGAACCATTTCATGCAAAATCTAGCCAGTTTTGGTCTTTATTACCATATATTAGAAAATAAAAAGGCAGGCATGCATTTGGCAAAAGATGTAGTCATTATTGATGATATAAAAATGCCCAACATGGGTCACATCGCAAGAGGAAAACCCCAAATGTAACAAGGAAAACACAACATTTGTACAGAAAGCTTACAGAGTGTTCATCTCCCTAAAGTATGAAGTCATTTTCTTCTGTTTTCAAATCTTTAAATATTTTATGAAATCTGTCAATGATTTGTTGACATACTTCTACTGGGAAAGCATCTGTTTTACTGATTTTAAAAAGCTTCATTTGTATAACAAAGTGTTAAGTGTAAATCAATGAAATATTTATTGATATTTTCATAATGAGGACTTTAACATTTACACATATAGTACAAAAATTATACAAATTAAAGATAGGGGTAACATATTAATAGATCTATTTTTGCTTCCTGTAAATATTCTTTATGGACCTATAGGGTATCCTTTCTAAAAAGATAAACTCTGTCTCTAATTAGCCAGCAAATTTGTGCTAATAAAATAGGATTAGACTTCTCAAGGAACCAAACATTGCACTATTCCAGGAGCCAGCTAATTTTTTATTACCCGAGTTCTTTCGCACCCACACTCAGACACATCTCCGTGCACACTGTGAATAATGAGGAAACACAGATTTCCCTTTCACATCTCACAAAATCCTCCACATAAACACTTGGGAGACATCCCTGGATAGGACACTGTCTACCTCTCCTGCCTCCCAGCTTTGCATATTCTTCCTAGGACCACTAGCAACATTCTGATTTGGTATTTTTAGCCAGTTTTCAGTATTGCATTGGAATAGGAAATGAGCTTTAAATTTCTTTAAATGGAATTCTGTAACTTTTTCAACCTGCATATGATTTCTTGATTCTACACCTTCTATAAAGAGAGCTTATAGTTAGGCATGAAACACAAAACTGGAGCAACGAGAACATTCCAAGATTCTGATACTGTACTGTCACTTATTTCTAACTGTATAAAGACTATCATGTTGCAATAAAAATGGAAGCACACTACCCCCCAAAACCTGCCACTCCACATATGGACACACGAAGCAGTAGCCAGTGCTCCAGGATGAGCTGCAAGTTCTGTGGCTTGACAGTGATGAGAGGAAAAGCACAAAACAACTTCAGATTAGAATACAAAAGTAAAAAATTGTCACATGGCATGGGAACTTCAGCATTAGAAAACTAACGGAAGAGGCTTACAGATTCTGAAAAGCAAATATGTAGAAAATTACTTCAAAAATAAGAATACTGATAGTAAGTTCTATAATTTGGTTTTCACAGTCAAAAACTTTCAACTCATTCAGTAAGGTGATTTGGTAACGGTGTTTATGTCAAAACGTTTTTGTTCTATTTTTTGTTTTAATTTTATGGAAAACTCAAAATATGATGAATGGCAGGGGGTTGAAAAATATGCAGTACCCCAAACAGATAGGCTAATATAAGAGACTACATTACTTTACACATACCACATACAATCAACATTTCAACCTCTATTAAATTTCACAACTTGTCATTAAATGTAAAGCACCATGTATGGTGATTTTACTTTCACTCTACAGCCTATGGTATTAAATTGAACACTGTAACTTGTCCATTGAATTGAATCATGCAACCCTCACAGAATCAGGTTAAATGGTTTATAAGGCATATTGGAACAAGTTAAAATCATTTTGTTTCCATTTAAAAGTTATTCTTTTGGATGAAGGGGTTCCTGAATGCCTCAGTCATAATGTGTTGGAGATCAGTTGAATATCTTGTTAGAGTCTAATTTATTTGGTTTAGGATGGAGCCGAAGGGATTAGAAGGAATTACAGTCATCCCAGGATGAAGGGTGTCCTCTGAGCTGGGCTGGGAACAGCAGATGTCACAACATTCAGAATTCCATGTAGACAAGGAAGCCAAGGGAGGGCAGTAGCAAGCTGAGGAGACTCCAAGACAGCATGGACACACCTACAAAGCAAAAACCAAAAGCATACTTGTCATTTCATCAGCTAAACTCCTGCTCAACCAGTCTGCTTTGGAGAAGCAGGATTGTGTTGACCTGAAAATCAAATGTTCCTTTATGAAAAATAAATATTTCTTATTCTAGGCAATATGAGAGAAATACAAACATTTTATCAAAGATTTTGTGTGTGAGATAATGGACATGATCTCTACATTTTGTTTAAATAAATCATGAAAATAATAACATTGCAATACTAACATCGTCCCTGTGATCCAGGAGTCTCAAACTTCCACCAGAAGGTAGTAGAGCAAGACGTACTATAAATAAATAAAAACCAAATGCCATATGTGAAGGCATGGATGTCACCTGTGCCATTTCAAAGTGCTTTCTGGATTCTTGCAGGTTTTCATTTAACTTTCTGCTTTTCTGTATATTAAAAAATAAGCCACAACCACATGCTGTTTTGTTCAGTTATACAGGACCTCAACACCACACCAGCAGAGGTGAGGAGTATTTGAACAATTTTTCTTAGGTCTTATTGGCAGACTTGAGAGCAGCAGCTAGGAAAAATAAGAAAACATACAAGGGCACACACACACACACACACACACACACACACACACACACACACACACACACACACTTCAACATATCTGGGTCTCTCATCTTTAATTGTTTCTTTATGTCTTTCCTGATGTTTTTCCTTCTGTGCCTCTTTATTTTCTCCTACAACTTATATACTCCAATAAAATCTTTCAAGCTATTTTTCAAGTGAATGATCAAGTAAAAAACAGCATGTTCCCCATTTCCCTTACATATTTAAAGTATTAAAAGTTAAATATTTTAAGTATCACAGGTGAAAAACAAATTATTCCTAAGGACCCATATACATTTCTGTTTAAGCAATTTGTTATAGATTTAAAAAGTATAAGCAAGCAAGCAAGGTATTTTTTTTCAGCCAGTTCTTCTATTGTCAGGTTACATTTTGCAGCTACAAAGGAGCAATCATTTTTATTATTATCTCAATAGGTAATCTTATAAAATCTTAAAATAATCACAAATATAAACTTTTATATAAAAAACAATCCAATTCTACTTTAAATCCTCAGGGTGCATACCCATTCATTGACAGTTTTCTTTTTATTAAATTACATCAGGAAGCTGAGGGCAAAAATGGGTACAAGGAATTAATCATTGTCGTTGATCACCAACCCATCTTTAGCAAGAAAGGCATGTCTGCTAGTAATAGCCAGGTTGCCTTTGCTCTTTTCCCTTGACCTCAATGAGTCCCTTGCTTAACTAACAAAAGTGAGCCTCTCTAAACTTTAAATTCTTCCTCAAGATTTTCTACATCAATGCCATTAACAAAAATATCCTAACCTAACTTTACTAACAATTGTACATCTCTAAGTTCTTTCCAAGGGGGTGGTTGAGTTATTAATCTGATCCAGCAGCAATGCTTGGAAAAAGTCACTCACTATTATTGTAAGTACCAGTGACACTGCCTAGTGAGGGGCTAGAAACTCATAGAGTTTTCATACAACTCATAGATAATGATGGATGCAGTAACCCTGAGGGCAATAAACAGAGCTATGCTCAATAACAGCATGAGGTCCTCAGGACACATAGTCCTTGGGGTTCTGCTTCTCTGAGACTCACCCATTGTGATGATACTGTCCAGTGGGCCATTTTTCCAAGAATTCCAAAGCTGCTTTCTGGTCCTCTTGCATGACCCCTGACAATATTGCATGTTTACCTCAATAGATCCAGATGCCCCAGAAAATGAGCAAGCAACAAATATTGTCTTTGTCATGCCATCAGACCCAGACATCAGAGAGAAACTTTAAAAAATACAGCAATTTGAGGGTATGAATAGGTCCCAGATTTTAGAAATCCCTCAGAAAGTCTACAACAACCAGGACATGGCAAAGAAAAAACAGTGAAAGAGACTAATGAGGGTGGTAGCTGCCCTTAAGGAAACAGACAAAGGAGAATGGGCAAAAGTAGGCCTAGGGATAAGGAGAATGATAGATACACATACTGTAAACACAAGGTACATTGGAAGAAAGGATGCCCAAACAGAAGAAAAAGAAGAAATTGCTTCCAGTCCTCCAGTTAAGGGAGACATGAAGGAGTAAGAGCTCCATCCTATTGAGCCCACAGAAGGTAATGGACGCAGCAAATATATGGTGGAAATCCAATAAGTTCCTAGTGGACACAGGCCATTCTGTTCTGATGTAGCCTCTCAGGCCAGTCACCTCCCAGAAGATGGCAGATCAAGGGGCACCTGCACAGGCTGCCTACTTTCCCTGGTTAACAATCCAGACTGTAGACCTGGGACAGAATAGTGTGGTTCACTCTGTCTTAGTTATGCCTGATTGTCCATAATCCCTGATTGGAAAGGACCTGCCAAGAAATGGAGGTCCACCATAACTTTTGTAGAAGAGGTATCACCAAGGCCAAACCCCTGCCCACATTCTAGTGACCTGCTCTCTATTGGATGGGTACCTCCTCCAATGGGAAAAACCCACCAACAGAAGAGTCTTTGCAAATGCTACAACTACAGTACCCTTCTGTTTTGGCAGAAGGAAATCTGCCTAGAGTACCCGCCAATTAGGCTCCAGTTATTGTCCAGTTGGTAAGCTCTGCTGCCATGCTGGGAAGCATAAGAGGGTATTACCAAACACATGGGCAGATTGGGAGAGGCAGAAATTCTCATCCCATGTCATTCCCCCTGGAACACTCCATTGCTTCCAGTTTGGAAGCCAGGTACTCAGGAGTATCAGCTGATCCAGAGGCAGAAGAAAGACTCCTTTAAGTCTAAAACAGTGTTGACTCTTCTTTCTGGTAGCAACAGGCTTAGGAAAGTGTACAGGCTTGGGACTGTGGAGTAGATGGTTTTCACTCTTTTGTAGGGAGGATAGGGAAGAAGAAAGTAGAAAATGATGTGATTACATTTTAATCTCAAAAATAAAAGAAATAAGGAAATTAAAAACATAAGTAGTCAGTGAGGGTCAAAACTTGGGCACAGAATATAAAAGGCCACTGGGCCCTTAACAGCTACTCAAGAGCATCCAAAATGCAGATGTTGTAAACTGCTGTCAATAACAACAACTGTGATGATGACTAGGGGATCTCATAATGCTGATCCACAGCACAAAATAGATTTTGGTGGTCCTGACAGAGTGGGACTAAGAAGGTATATTAATTCTTTACATCTTTATTCTCTCTCTCTCTCTCTCTCTCTCTCTCTCTCTCTCTCTCACACACACACACACCCCCACACACACACACACACACACACACATAATACGTTAACCTAACAGTCCAGAGCAGTAGGTATTTTTTGTGTGTCATAAGCTATTATTTTAGGTTTTCAGCATAAGAAATGAAAAACTGAGCATACAATGCATGCATCAACAGAAAGTTAAAGGAACTGTAAATTTAATCTTACATTCTACTTCCTCGATAATATATTAAACAAAAATATCACTCAAGCCAATATAAATTTCTTAAAACCCATTCAGGGCAAATGATTTAGCAAAGGGTCATCAGCAGAGAGAATGACTCTTTAGTATTACTCAGCACTGAAGGCATGCTCTTACCACCTGAGGACACTGTACTGTGCCCTTTCTGTGTCAAGGAAGGACACAAATGGGGAAAAAAACAGCCATGTGAAAAAAGCACAGCAACTACCTATGCTGCTTGAAAGAGGATTTTACACTCTTACATGGTTTTAAACCTATTTTTCTGCATAGTTTTAAAAATATGCCATACCCCACATGTTATTTTATTCTGATAAGATGACCAATAACAAACCTCAATTAAACAGAAAAACATTTAGTTTTCCATATCTGACCTAATTTAAATGATCTATCCTGAAGCCCCATCTTAGGGTGACCATGGGGACACTCCAGTGCTCCATCTTCTGACCACAATTACATCAGCAATGGCTATGTATTGATGTGTTTTTCTGAATATGTGGTTTGGCACTCTCCTAACTGTGGCTGCAAAAAGCAGTTTAGTCAATCAGTGTTGCCATTTTGAAGTTTTGGTGTTAGAATGAAAACCAAACACAATTTCATAATTTGTGGCCTTGACACCAGGATATTTGATTTATTTAAAATAAACTCTCTGTGTTTATGTGTTATATTTAATACCTCTAATGGATCTAGTTTATGTAATTGTGGTCTGCATCTTCAGTTCTCCTCTACGTTCCAAACAGAAATTAGAGACCAAATTGAATTACAATTTGGTCACTATAAATGTGAGCTATATAAAAATATATTCTTGAGGGGTTTTCAGTGTATTCAGTTTATACTTAACAAACCATATATCATATTACTGCTCTCCTGAATGGCTCCGGTTCTTACATAGTATATACTGACTATATACTTTGCTTTTCATAGATCTCCTGACTGTTAAACATAAGCACCAGTCTCATGAACCATTTTTCCATATCAGAATCAATGTAAAACCAAATTAAAGTACCTTGTTTAATCTGGACTTTCTTGACTATTTTTAAATTGAACTCCTGGACTTATTAATTTCTTCAAGAAGGGCTATAATCACACAAAGTGTGTGCATGAGTGTTTGTGTCACTTCTTCTCTCTCATTTGAGGCTCCTAGCTTTCAATCTTCAGATGGGAATACAAACCTAATAGTGACTTCAGAAACAAAGGAAAACAGGACCATTTCCAGAGACTGAGTAGATATGGAAGCAATAGAGAGGGCTTGCAGGGTACACATGATCAGATGGGGTAAATGAAGAAAAAAAGAGGATCTCTAACTAGTTCAGAGGAGGAAGATAAACTCAGGGGAAGGAGAGATTTGGGTAAAGAGAGTAGCCATGTAAAGAGAGAGGGAGCAGAAATTTCTATTAAGTTACTTCAGTTCAAAGAGGAGTAGTCTTAGGTAGAGAAAATTACTGCGTTTTATTAAAGCACCTTTCAGAACTACTTGGGGGAAGAGAAAAATCTTGAGGGGTGGAACATCGTATAACATA